TTAGAGGGTGTTGGTGGAATGAATTCACAGCTGCCATAGCACCAGAGACATGATCGTGCTTATCAACAATAAAGATGAATTATCATCGATTTTAGTAAGATCTGCCTGTCTAAACTTTGTCAGACTATGAACTATCCACAATAAATATGTGAGAAGTCCATTTTGTCATCTTGCTCATTAGGAACCTCTTCACTAACCCCACCATCATGCTCACTGGAGAAGTTAACCTTAGGTGGCCTGTATGCAGTTGGGCAGGAAATGGGCAAGGAGAGTCTCACCTTATGGAGGTCTCTAAGTCAGGCAAGAAGATGTAGATACCAATCTAAAATTTTGCATAAAAATAAACATGGATTTTAGTGGGGAAGAAGATTCAAAACCATTCAGGTGATGGATATTTTTGAAGAATATAGATTCATGAATTCTGCTTCAGATCAGGACCACATTTGATTAAACGTGACTTATTCTATATTCAAATTTATGCTGTGGAAGTTTCATTAGAGTAATGATACGAAAAGGGACAGATGCCTTTTTATGTATTAAATAAGAGAGTATTTTGAAAACGATACGCATGGCTGTAAAGACCACAAGAACAATTCTGAATTATTTTGGCAGATCTAAATGAAAAAAGATAAAAAGTTCAAATTTTTCCTCACGGTGTAGGAATCCTGAAAACTTAAACCAGTATGACTACAGTAAGTCTGAAGCCATGCTGCAAAATACAACTTGCTTATTTGACTCCCAAAATTCTAGATTTTGTGTTGTTTTGCTGAAAGAAACAAGAGACGTTTTCTGTTACATCATTTCATCGAGGACTTGGTCCTTAGGGCTAATGAAAGCAATGCACGCATTGCCAGGTGCTTTTCTGCACCCAGTGGGTAATCTGGGATCACAAGAAATGGCTGGCACAGACGTCCTGTCCTGGGCACCAGCCATGTGGCCGAACTCCCCAGCAGTCAGCTGAGGAAAGCCATCCCCCCAGGACGGGCAGCTAACCCCCAGCCATGGCCAGCAGAGGACACAACATGCCTCTAATGGAACAGGCTCAAGTCTGGCTTGTTTCTGGTAATGTTTCATTCCCTTTCCTCAGAGCCTTTTCCCCATTGAACAGACCTATGCCTCTGTGTTTGTATGCTGTCTGCCTACAGTGACCTGCAGTGACCTGAAGTTAGTCAGATCAGTGACTGATTTTTCTTGTACTTACAGAAATCTGCAAGCTAAAAGCAAGGGGGAACCTCTGTAAAATAACAGTGAGCACAGCCAGAGAGAAAAATGGCATCAGACAGGAACACAGTCTGAATGCTGACTCAGAACACCCATTTCCTCCCTCTCTGCCTTCACAGCTCTCCCTAATCTCCTCTTATTTTCATCTTACAGCTCAATTTACAGTGCACCTGAAGTGTCCCTCTCTCCACCCACCCCCAATTCTTTGAGTTTTTGTTTTGTTTCTAGAATCATAGAATCATAGAATCCTTTAGGTTGGAAGGGACCTCCAAGATCATCAAGTCCAACCATTGAGCCATGAGGGCTCTAAAGTCCTCTGCTAAAACAGATCAGAATCTGTCAGGGTTGGAAGGGACCACAAGGATCACCCAGTTCCAACCCCTTTGCCATGAGCAGGGACACCTCCCACTAGATCAGGCTGCCCAGAGCCTCATCCAGCCTGGCCTTAAAGACCCCCAGGGATGGGGCCTCAACCACCTCCCTGGGCAACCCATTCCAGGGTCTCACCACTCTCATGGTGAAGAACTTCTTCCTCATGTCCAGCCTGAATCTGCCCACTTCCAGCTTTGCCCCATTCCCCCTAGTCCTGTTGTTACTCGATATCCTAAAAAGTCCCTCCCCAGCTTTCTTGTAGGCCCCCCTAATGTCCTCGTAGGAGAGCTGCTCCAGCCCTCGGGTCATTCTCGTGGCCCTTCTCTGGACACGCTCCAGCAGGTCCACATCCCTCTTGTAATGGGGGCTCCAGAACTGGATGCAGTACTCCAGGTGGGGTCTCACCAGAGCAGAGTAGAGGGGGAGAATCACTTCCCTCGACCTGCTGGCCACACTTCTCTTGATGCAGCCCAGGATCTGGTTGGCTTTCTGGGCTGCAGGTGCACACTGTTGGCTCCCTACACTTCCTAGTTTTCTCCAATGCCTGTTGAACCATTGTTCTCCTGGTCTGTCACTATTCCTTCAGATGGTCCCGTAAATGCTGGAAGGGGGTCTGTAAACTCACTGCCAAAACCCACGTGCACTCACCTCCTCCTACCTGCAACTGAGTCACAGTCCTGAGCCTCACTGAGTCTACCTTTCACTAAATATAAATAGAGTTACCATGAAATCAACTGCATGAAAAAGTCAAATGACACACTCTTTAGAGAGATTACTTTGACTTTAAGTTTAAAAGTTAATAAACATGGATCTAGAGAATGAGGCCTACCTCAGCTTCATTGACAGAACCCAGGCAGCTCCTTTGCCAAGTGTAAAGACAGGGAAACCACCATACCTCTAAAACCCTCTGAGATTACACGTTCCAGATTTGCAATATCACAAAGTGCAGGAAAGATAAAGCCTGCCCTAAGAAATGCAACTTAGTTTAATAAAGCACATTATAAAATAACTTATACTGTAATTCACAGCAAATTACGCATTTTAGAAAAATAATTTTTGCCTCAAAATTCCTTTTTCTAATGAAGCAAAATATAAGCAAACAGATATAAACTGCATAATTTACTGGAGAAAAACAAGTAGTAGAGAAGTGTTTATGGTATTGTTCTCTGACACTTTCACACACCAGGAAACTGCCATTTCCACCTGAAGGCAGGAAGCACTGGGTATTCTGCCAGAACCCTGTCCTGCATGCTCACTGGTGTTCTGTGACTTGCATTCCTGTTCAGAGTAACATCAGTTACCAGACACAGAGTACTTCCAGTTGTTGTTTTGGATATTTACTTAGAATTTTATGAGAAAAAGAAATCTTTATGGATGAAACCTTCCCCGATGTATAAAGCACAATTCAGCAGCTTGTTTTTATCCCTACAGCTAATGCTGTGCTAGGTACTGGTGGTCGAACACAAAACAATGCTTTGAAATATGCTGGGGCAACTCGGCTACGCTATGTTTATGTTTAATCAAGTTGTTGTTGTTTTTTTGGTTTTTTTTTTAATCTGTTTTCAAACACAGGGACTTGCATAGGCTTTGTTGGTGTAAATCACCCAAGTAAGTGGAAATATGTACAAGCTAGACAACGTGTCAATGTCAGCAATATGTGCATGCAACTTAAACAGACGTTAACTCATCTGAATTATTTTACAACGTGCAGCAAATGAAAACTGCCAGCACAAACAGCACAATGCAATCCATCTGGGAATTTAGTTGGGAAATACTAACAATGACTACATGAAATTTCCCAGGCAGAACACTACCTGTTTGAAGGAAGAAAGCAAAGTGAGGATATGGTCCAGAAACTTTCACAGCAGTGAGCCTGAAGACAGGGAGCATAACCCCATCTCATCACCGAGTCCAGCAACATGCTTCTGCCCTAGAACACGGCAGCCCAGAGCCCAGGCACTGCCAGAGCAGAGGCTGCTTTGTATCTCCAGAGCTCGTTGTGCACTGCCACTCAGATCAACAGTGTCAGGTACAGACTGAACTTCTCCACTCTGCAATTAACTTGCAAAGGAGTTGATTCATATGACATTACATGAAAGCCGTTGTCAGAATAGGGTGATTTCACTGAAAGAACAGATGTGGGTGTCTCATTGATGTAGCATATTTAAGATTCTATTTCCTTGCTTGCAGTCACATGAAATATTATCAGTACTTTTGAAAAGATACCACCATTCATCATCAATTTCCATGAAAGTGTATTACAGACAACACTGACAAACCTTTCTTTAAAATTGTTAGTTTTACATGTTTCTAAATTGAAAAAAAAGATACAGAACAAAAATTCTTAAGTAAACACATTTATTATTGCTGCATTTTCAAATGCAGAAATACTGTTATTTCAAGTATAGGCTTACAATCCTGTTTCATTCTTCTTTATGCCAAAACAAGAGGAACATCCTGGTCACCGATATTTTGATAATGAGAGTCAAACTGTGGCTTCAGATATTTATGCACAAATCTCATTGGCAGCAGGATCAACTATATTTCCTCATGAAGTGAGAACTGCCTCAAAAAAAAGCACTAAAAAGGATTAAGAACTCTTGGTACCTTAACACCCTTTTTACACAGAAAAGCCACTTGCACACATGAAGAAAATACATATTCAGGATATGAAGATCAAGTTCTCAACATCCATGTCACTTGGCTGCAACATTAAAACACCAATTAGTCTTTTACTGTGACTAACAAGCTGTGACAAACAGCAATAGCTCTTCCACCATTACATGGTTTTAACTAACTCGACAAATGCAATTTTTCAGAACAGGCCTTTGTTTCATCTGTCCATTGTTTTAACAAGTTAAAAGCTTGGTTCTTTACCAATGGTTATGAAGCAATTTTCTATCCTTTCATATTCTAAGTGAGTATAAAATACAAAAAGCGTGCTCTCATTAATTTCCAAGAATGCCTTGTGCACCAACTGCTGCAGCTCAGAGCAGGATATGGATAATGCTGAAAACAACTACTGAAAAATGTGGGCTTATGCTGAAAACAATTACTTCTCTTAACTGCAACCTTTAGCATAGGATAAGGCAAGCATCAAAGGATGTGGGCAATAGAAAATGGTTTTATTGTTAGCAGCATCTTCTTTCTTCCTGTGTACTATTAACAGAAGTTAACATTAAAGCAGTTATAAAGAGCCAAACAGATTCTCTACTTCCATCTTAATGACAGGATTTGCCTAAGTAAATGCTATCCTCTGAAAGTGAAACTCACATATCAGGACTCAAAGTTTCAGCTTCGGGACCTACAGCTGGAGTTCTGTCTAAATGCAACACAGGACACAAACCAAAACCATCTCTTACTTCTAGAGGTTGCCCCACCCAGGAAGACCCAACCTGAGCCGGGTCCTAAAGGAACGATGCGCTCACCATCCTGAAATACCGAGGCTGAGTTGGGCGCCAGTTATCAACCAGGGGGAGGTCAGGCTCATTCTCAGCATTCTTGGAGAGGCTGCGGAGCTTCGCCATCTGCAGGAGAGCAAAAATCAATGTGTCCTGATGGAAATCCCTTAGGATCAAATCCATAGCTTAACAATTAAAACAAGGACACTGGCCCAGCCACAGAACCTGCGGAGAGTCTCCTTCAAAGTTGTGAAGATGTCCTTCACTACATCAACACAAGGACTGTACTCATGTTCTTTCCCTAGCAGTAATATTCTTAGAAATAGTCAAGACAAAAAAAAATAGGCCCTATATGAACAGGACTGTGAAAAGTACTGTCATTTATGTACTGTCTGCAGAACAGTGTACAGCCACAGAAACTGAGGGAAGTTCTCAGAAAATGTCAGTAGAACAGCCCTAATAAATCTCCCCTACTCTAACCCTGCCTTAGTGTCCCATTGTTAAGAAGCCTCTGGAATTGCAAGGTGTTAAGGCTAAGTAATAAATAGATTGTTCTTTTCCATGATGGGTCTGTAGCAGAAGATGTATTCTGCTGTATAATGGTTTGAAACCTGCTGCCCCTGGTGGGTGAAGATCTGAAAACTAATACCAGCTACAAGCCTGAATGAAAGGGGCGTATACCTGTTCTATTCCCACTCCCCTCTTCCTGTCCTCGGGACTTCCTGCCAAGGTCTATAAAAGGGGCGAGAAAGGCATGCCTCTTGCTCCTTTGCCTTTCACCCCGGACACACGCTGCTCTGCTGCTTGTGGTTTCCCTGTGCTACACCTTGCC